CAGCTCAGAACAAAGCTCACCTCCAGGCACCAGAAGCAACAAAAGAGGAAATCCCCTTTTGCGGCATTTGGGCTTTAGCAGGTGCTCCTGCTCACATTCTGGCCCACCAGCCTTTCTCCAGAACACTAAAACTTGTTAGCGCCTAGGGCACAGCCATCTCCCCCTCCCGCCAACATTCTGCCTTTCTTTTCGAACACAGAACTTTCTGTGCTAAATTCTCGCCGGACTGGGCTTTCTTACAACCTGACTTTATTTTAGTTTTTAAAATGTACTTCTGTAAACCACAGGGCTTCCTTGAGCATGAGGGATTATCCCGATGTTTCGCAGGGGCCCCATCTTTATGGTTAGAGTTCATTGTCAGAGCGATTGATGCCCCGATTGGGATACGTCCTCACAAACCCCAGGGTCTCCCTCTTTGTCTTGTAACCACCAGATCTGTGCGATGTACCTTTTATTCCATTTTTTCCACCACTGTCTTGGTGCCCCAGTGAAACATCAGCCCAGGGCGTGGACATGGGAGAAGCTAATGAAAAGAGAGGTAGCAGATTACAGAAACAGGCAACGGGGGACTTGCCTTTGATTGAGCTGAGCATGGCCAGGGCAACGTGACTGAAATGGCATTTTGTTGCCTTCTGTAATTCTTAATGTTTTTGCATTTAATAGTTGAGTGAAATCTGGTGCTAGGATTTTGTGCGTATACACGTAAGAGGAGGATGAAGACACAGTGGTTATACCTTGGGGATGAGCAGGGAGTAAATATAATGACAATACCCAGCTTTTCCTCCTCTTTAAGGGATCCAAGGTGTTTTCCAAGGTCCTTCTCCTCTCCATTTCATCCTCACAACAACCCTGCGAGGTAGGTGAGGCTGAGAGGTAGTGATTGGCCCAAAGGTACCCAAAGGGCTTCATGGCTGAGTGGGGACTAGAACCCGGACCTCCTGAGTCCCAGCCCAGCCCTCTTGCCGCTAAGCCAGGCATCAGCTCTCCCATGTGTGGAAAAAAGCCTGCTGGCTTGGCTTGAGTCGACATTACTGGGTGGGATGTGCAAAAGGTTCTGTCCTGCTCCAAGGAAGCTTCCAACATTGATCACGGAATGCATGTGAAGGGCCCCATCATGGGTTACCATCATCCCCAGTTAAGAGGACAATGTAGCGGAAGATGAGAAGGCCTCTCAGCTTGGTGCCCTGGAAAGATTTATCCAGGGAACACAGAGCTAGACAGACCAACAACTTGACTCATTAGGACACAGGTCCTGGTACTCCTGTTTAGCTCAGCCCCTTGCACAGAACCATGAGGACTAACATCTTTAGTCTCAGAGAAGGAACGTGACTTGATGGCAGAGTGCACACTTTGCATGCACAAAGGTCCAAGGTTCTGTCTGAGGCATCTCTGGATAAAAAGATCAGGTACCAGGTGATGGGAAAGATGCTTCTTCACCTGAGAACTGGAGATTGCCAGTTAAGATAGATGCAGCAACAAGCTTGATGGACAAGCCTCCAAGAGCTTGTACAAGGCAGATTTCTGTGCTCCCAAAATTGAGTATTTGGGAACATTTCCCCAAAGCTTTCCTGGTTTGGAAAATGGAAATAGTTCTTAGTTGTAAAGAACTGAGCATCCTGCAGATTCTTCCTTGAACCATGGAAAGAAGTGGGAGTGTTTGTGTTGAGTCCTTCTGGCATTGCTTCTACATATGGTCCAGCCTGCACTGCACCTGTGGAAGCACATCAGCACCTTGGAAAAACAGGCCCTGCTTGGTCAGAGGGAAGCCCGTCCAAACCAGAACCCTTTCCCCTCACACGTGCGCCCATCCTCAGCTGTGGCGTTCTTGCTGCTATAGATCAATACACACACTCCCATCAGGAGCGGAGCCCAGAGCGAGTTCCCTTTCCTTCCCTTGTCACCCCCTTGCCCGTCAAAAGTTGGGAAGACACCCCAACAGAACTAGCACCCATCTTCGGGCTAATGCCAGAGTGTAGAACAGGGAATTATCAGTTCAAGCTGTGGCAACCCAGATTCAGGCTGGACATCAGGAAAAGCTTCCTCATGGCCAGATCAATACACCAGTGGGACCAGCTGCCTGGAGAGGTGGGGGGCTCTCCCACACTGGAGACATTCGAAAGAAACCGGACAGCCATCTGAGTGGGATGGTGCAAACTGGTGTCCTGCAACAGCAGGGGGGTGGACTAGATGGCCTTCATGACCCCTTCCAGCCCTACTATTCTATGATTCTAAGACAGATCTGGAGCACTTGGCAGTCGAAGGCGTGCAGAAAGCCAAGAGCAAATACCTAACTGCAGTGGGAAGGAGCTGTATTGGTTTATTGTCATTCGCTTTTGGCTCCAAACTTTTGTCTGTTGGGAAGAAGGATGTGTCTGCAGCAAAGGAGGCAGACCGATTCTTCTGGCCACCGTGGGATTTCCCACGGAGGGGCAGAGAGAGCAGAAGGCCAACTAATCATCCTACTGTCCGCTGCGGACTTCATGGTCCTGCCTCTGCAGGCGACCTCCAAGAAGAGGGGACGCTTTTCTCAAGTGCAGGCGGACTCGGAGGTTGGCCGTGGGCCAGTCCCGTGGAACGTCTGCCACTTGACCCCAGGCCACATTAGCGAGGGGCGAACCCAGGAGTCCCTGGGGCGGCAGAACCCAGCTCGGAAGGGCCCTCCGTCCTGTGCGGCCCCACTTTGCGCCTTGGCGTGGCCGGCTGCAGCGGGTCGTGTGCCGCGGCGGCTTTGCGGGCGGAGCGACTGCCGTTTGCACTTGAGGGAATCGAGCCCTGAAAAAAGAAGAAGAAGAAAGCGAAGCCTTTAATTATCTGGGCAATTAATTCCACTCAGTATAGTTCATTGCAAGGGGGGAGACCCGATGTCAATAGGGACACCTTATTTAATGAGGTAACGATGCCAAAGGGGAGCCCGCCCCTGCTGAATTCCTCAGCCTGAGACAGGGATGAGGAGAAGTCCCCTGAATGAGGCCGGACGGGGGGCAGAGACATGGGTGGGGGAGCTCAGGCTCTCCGTGAGGCACAATGCTTTCCGAATTCCTCGCCCTCCGCAGCTTCCTCCAGTCCCTCGTCTGGGAATGCTGCCCACAACAACTCAGCCTTGAGATACGTTTTGCAATTTTCCCTCAGGCTGGGCTGGCTGAAGGCTCACAAGTCTCCACCCCACCTCCCCTCTATTCAGCACCCTTGTCTCAGAAAGCCGCGTGTTTATCAGCAAGACGGCTGCCCTGCTCCTTCTGGGGCAGGATTCGGACCTGGCATCTCTTCCAGGCTGGAGCGGGGCCAGCTCTGGCACAAACGTTTAATGAAAAGCCCATCATTGTGGGAAGGACGGGCCCACTTGGCTAACGGGGCCGGGGGGGAAGTGCCGCAGCTCCTGCTGGGAAGCAAGCCAGCCTTACATCTGCCTGTTCCCATCAGCTGCAGATTTATTTTGAATGCCGGCTGCAGCGTGCAGATCTGCAGATAAATACATGGGCAGGAGGGGCCGAGAGGGTGACTCCTGCCCACCTACTGCTTTCAGTCCCCAGACTCTTCACTCTGACTGGAGGATGCTAACGCTGAGAAAAATGGTGACTTTGCATGGCCTGACCATTCCGAAAGTTCACCCCTAACCAATTATCCATGGCCGTTTGGAATCCAAGCTGTGTTAGATGAGATTGGGCATTTTCAGGAAAAATAAAGCAAAAACTTTTACCCCAGTGGGTAGGTTCGCTCCTGTAAGTGAATGGTCTTGTGCTATTTATTTGTTTAAAACATTTATGCATGGTGAGCCATTCTGGGAGCCGTCTACTGCTATTGAATGGTATATAGAAGCAATAAATATATACACCACCTTTATGTATTGGGATTCATGTTGTGTTTGGTGGGTGCATTTGCGCTGGTGATGTGGAAATCAGCTCACATCTGGCTTCGTGTTGCTTCTCCATGTATTTCCACACAAGTTTGTTCCGTTCTGTTTCTGCTTTAATCTGTATTTAAGAACTGTACCAAAACATATATCTGCAGAATGTATAGCCTCTCAAAACATAGCTTTCAAAATTCATTTCCTTTCAACCTATTTTTGAGCTGCTTTGATCATTTGATTGAGCCAACAGCTAATCAGAAGATCCAGGAAGTGCAAAAGCCACTGGTAACGAACAGCACAATCTGATGAATGTTCAGACAGAGAAGAACTACAATTCCCAGCATTCCTCACCCCAAATTCTGACTATCACAGGTCAAGTCAGTCCAAATGGGGATAAGAAGTGTAAATTTCTCAGCCATCCCAAATTTGCATCAGTAACCATGCAAGCCAGCTTTCACACATTCTTGATCTTGCGTATCAGCTCCAGCCAGGAGACAAACATGTCTCTGGCGTAATTGTACCTACCCCGTTCAGGTAGATTCCAAGGTGTTTAATGACCTCCTCTTCCTTTGAGAAAGCAGGTTCAGTATCCCACATAACCCATATCAAACCTTGCAGCTTCAAAACCCGTATGGATTTTGAAGGACGCGCTCCAACGGAGCAAAGCTCAGGGAACCAAGGTTCCATTTAGATGCCAGGAAGCACTTCCTGACCGTTAGGACTTCAAGGGTGTGGAATGGGCATTCGCGAGAGGTCGTGGAGGCCCCATCGGTGCGGGTGTTCAAGGATAGGCTGGACGTGCACATGGTGGGCATGTCATGAGCGAGCCGTCTGGAGCCGGGGGTCAGACTAGATGGCCTGGGAGGACCCTTCTGACCCTCTCTGTTTCTCTGTTCCTATGTTTCTATTTCTGGTGTCATTGCCTGGTGCATGTGTGAAAGGATTTTTGCCTTTTGACTTCAACTGACCTGAAATCCTATTACTGTACTTTGAGGAGTGCCGAGCTGGGCTTTTTTTCCTGAGCTGCAGCAGGCTAGCGAACACTGCACTTGCTTTCTTCCCTTGCTTGGGGCCAGAAGACAAGGAGGAGATTGCTTTGGGCTGGACGAGAAGGTGGTCTCTGACTCTGTATTTTTACTCCTCCTTTCTGTAGAAACCCTGATGGATTCTACCACGGCAACTGCAGAACTTGGATGGACGGTGCACCCACCATCAGGGGTGAGTCAAACAAACTGGGGAAGGGGTGAGCACAGGTGGTAGTGGGGGAGCCCTCCTGGGCCAATAGCTACCCCAAAGCAGGAAGGAAGAACAGAGAAACAGAAGGATGCGAAGTAGTCTCAGGTGGTTCTTTGGTGCTCCGGTCAAGATAGGTTGGGATTTCTTGGTGGAAGAAGTTGAGAGAATTTGAATTCTCACTTTGGTGGGAAGGGGTCACAGCTCCATAACGTGTCACATGCAGAACAGCTTGCAAAAAATTCCACTCCTGGTTCAGATGTCCAGGGATTGAGCTGGGAAGGATCTTGGCCAAAAGCCCTGGAGGCAATCCTTACAGACAGCACTGGGCTAGACAGAACCATGGACTCACTTCGTATGGTGGCTTCCAAGATGGTACCTCAGCAGTCACATATTGTACACCCCTGCCCTTCCTCTGTGATCTTCTGCGTGTCTCTTCCTAGCCTGTAAGCCCTCTGGGGCAGGGAGCTGTTAGCAGAACTCAGGACAGCCCCTGCCAGTTGCAGTAGAGAGGGCTGGACCTGATGGGGCCAGGAGAATCTGGCAGGGGGCACGCTTTGTCTGGAGAAGCTGGGCTCCGTCCTCGCCTCTTTGCTGTATGAGCAAATCTTTCACTGCTTGATTAGGAAGGCTGCTAGTTGCAGCGGCCCGTGCGGGGATGGGGCTTTGGCTTCCAAGGAGGCTGCGTAGCAGAGTGCTAGAACCCGCGATTGGCTTGCAGAAGACCATGGAAGCTTGCAAGATACAGTTGTCCACAGCCCCCGTTCAGTCAGGGAAGGCCGGGCGCACTGCGTCCTTCAGCCCAGTTACTCAGTGAGGTTCCAGAGTCCCAAACCAGGACAGTTTGCATGCAGAGCAGGGGCTCTCGCACTGAGTTATGGATGCTCACTGCGAGCCACCTCCTCCAAGGATCTGGGAAGCTTGACCTTGCCTGCTCTGGTCGAACAGCATTTGCAGGCAGGCAGTCTTCCCCAAACCTGCCGGGAGATGCTGAGGCATGAACTGGGAACCTTCTCCGGGCAAAGGGGGGCTCTGCCATTGAGCCGAGGATGTCCAGGCATGCCTGCACGGACTGGCAGTGGCCCTCCAGGTCACAGAGGAGGGCTTTCCCCACCCTTTCCTGGAGATAGTGCTGGGAATTGAACCCGCATGCAACGCAGGGCTGTACCCTTCTCTGTTGATGGAGAGGGGAGAGAGAGAACACACGAGAGACTATATGAATACATGAATATATTAAGTGAATGTATATAACAAACAAACATGCTTTAGCAAACAACTCCCCCTCCTTCCTGAACCAATTTCAGAGCCCTCTGCTTAAAATGTAGAGGGAGCAAGACACCAAAGCTCACTGCTAATTTGTTCAATGCCATAAACTCATATAATAATTCCAGTAAGACTGACAGCACTAATGAAAGCAATTAGTTGATTAATTAACTTCATGGCAGATTAAAAATATGTGTTTAATGGAGGGGTATGTGTGTTGGAGGGGTATGGAGTGGGTGCTATTGTGCGAAACTCAGAGTCTTTCTTCATTTGGGCATCTTGCAGAAGAGGCTGTTGGGAAAAGACATTCTAATGAACATATGTTGTGATGTGGAATTTAGACAGATGTTTATTTTCTGCAGATAACTTCAAAATATGACTTGAATTCAGATATGCTAAACCCCCACTTACTGATTCCACTGTAGCTTATAGATAGTGGTGCATCCCCCTTCTCCCCCACTCCGTCTCCCAAATGAGCCGTTGGAAGCAGGGAATTTCTTCCCAGCGGTTTGATTTTATTTCTTAAAATATTTCTATCCCTCCTTAAGGCAGCTCACAACATGAAAAACACATAAGTGTGTCTTAAACTGAATCAGAACACATTGTACAGATGAAATGTACCAGCAATGACTCCATCAAAAGACAAGTAGATATATAGAAACACAGAAACAGAGCAAGTCAGAAGGGGTCTCCTGGGCCATCTAGTCTGACCCCCGGCTCCAGCCGGCTCCGCTCACAACATGCCCACCATGTGCATGTCCAGCCTATCCTTGAACACCTGCACCTATGGGGCCTCAACCTCCTCCCGTGGAAGCCCATTCCACACCCTCGGGGTCCTAACTGCCAGGAAGTACTTCCTGGCATCCAAATTGAACCTTGCTTCCCTGAGCTTTGCTCCGTTGGAGCGCATCCTGCCTTCCTCTGCAGGAGAGAACAGGTCTCCACCCACCTCCGTGTGACTCCCCCTCACACACCTGTATGTCGCCAACAGGTCCCCTCTGAGTCTCTTCTTCTCCAGGCTGAAGAGACCCAGTTCCCTCAGTCTCGCCTCAAATGGCTTTCCCTGCAAACCGGCCACCAACCTTGTGGCCCTACGCTGCACTGACTCCAACCTGGCCATATCCCCTTGTGATGGGGACCCAGAACTGGAGAGACCTTTACAAATGTTACAGGGCTTGAACACACTGCGTTGGTCATTAAGGCACAACCTTAGTGACCAATAATCTACCAGGGAAGGGGTGGAGCGAGCTCTGCTGCTTTAGACCTTGGGGCCATTGCTGAAAAGGCCCTGAATAAACCGCGCCCTGCAGTGCACGTAAGAGGCAAGCTTAGCGTGGATTTTGAAAGGGGCAGAGGCTTGCAGGTTGCAGCCAGGTGAGGCTGGAGGAGTCTCAGCCTCTCGCAAAGCAATGGGTCAGTGAGGAAAAAGCTTCTTTGCATGGACTGCTGGGTGGATTTTCAGCCGCTGGCAAGGAAGGGGTTAACGTGAGCGGGGCCCCTTCTCTGGTGCTACGAGTGATGCAGAACACGAGTGACGCTGGCATGCTGCGAAGCGGGGAAGGTGCTTCCGCTTGCCACATTTATGCCTCAAGCTCTGCTCAGAATCACCCAAGAACTGCCCAGAACACACCCGGCCAGCTCCGCTCTTTGCGGGGGGAAAGAACCATCGCAAATTGATACAGAAATGTGGGAGTGTGAACTTGAACTGGAAAAAGGAGAAGGCCGGTCCATCCTAGCCTAGAATGCCTGTACTGATGGTCTAATGGAATTATTAATCGTATCAGTAAATCCAGCTGTTTATGAATAGAGGGTGGCCTTCCAAATTCTGGGGAATTTGAGTTTGCACCCACACCACGGGAGCGGCATGCCTGTAAATCCACCCACAGGTGGGGGTGCCTTCCGCTTGGCTCTGGTCGCATCACCTGGGAGCATCTGTGTAGCAGAGTCCCCTCACAGACCCCAAGGACTTAAGCTCGGACCTACAGATCCGCACGCCTACAAGCCAGGATTGGATTCTTGGCTTGCCCACCCACCAGCTGGCCCTGGCCGGGCCAAGCAGCTTCCGCAGGCTGGGAGGCCACAGTCCTCCTTGGCTTAAGCCCCATGCTGCGAGAGTGTCTTTGGGCAAGCGGCCATTGGCTCAGCCTCACTCTTCCCCCTCTGCAGTATGGGCACAAGCTTACAAGACCAGCTTGCAGGGCCGCTGTAAGGCCTGCAGCCAGAGTGTCCACAGAGCGCTGGGAACATGCCAGACATCTGCTAGGTATTGTTCCTCTCGCGCTGGGAGTCCTGCCGGCAGGCAGTAAATCTCAGCCTTTGGGTCATGTGGGTGGAATTCCTCTGGCAGCAGCAATTACGTGATGTGGCAGGGCGTGAACCGCGATCCATTAGCCAGGGAGGAAGCGGATTGCAACGCGCAGGAAAGACAGCGTGGCGGCTGATGGCAGGAGAGTGTGGCGAGCAGCTCTGAGTGGGGCTTGGGCGGAGGAGGGCAAGGCAGAGCCGTGGAGTCGCTCCCTGGGAGTTCGGAGAAGCCTTTGCAAGAAGGGATGCTTGCCCTAAAGGTGTCACTGAGCTGGGAGCCCATGTGGGTCGGCCTTGGAGTAAGACCAGGCAATGCCGCTTCCATTCGTCGCTCTGGCAGAACTGCACAGAGGGTAGTCTGGTTGCATAGTCCTGCCCAGGTAGACTGCCTCTTCTCATGGGGGTTCCACTGACCCATCTTAGCAAACGCTGCAGCTAGGCTAGTCTGGCATGAATTCATTGGTAAACCAAAGTGCCTGTGGATTGTTATGCCCTTAACTTTTTTAATGAAGCAATTGCTTTTATCTCATGTTGATCCTTTTCTGCCTCAAGCAATTTTGGAGTGGAAAGGCAGAACACCATTTCCCTTCAAATGAATTTGTTTATTCAGGCCCATCACCCTGTTTCCTATGGTGAACTGCTTCTTGGGAGCCTGTGAGCAGGGGCTTGATCGCAACAGCCCTTCCACCACAATGCTGTCGTTACGTTAGAAACCGGTGCTCGGTGGCACACTGCATCTAAACGTGCAGGCTGGACTTCCGAACAGCTGCAGGCCCTGTTGGACCAGAAACAAAAGGGCAGGGGAAAATGCACACCAGAAGCCGATGATAGCATTATTACAAGAACTATTGTGCCGAGTGGGTATGTGGAAGTTTTCCAGAGTACAGGCACAGGAGCTTTCCCCGAGCGGCTTCCACAGCGGTTGGAGCTACGGGCATGACAAGAGAAATGGGACGGAAATGGAAACCAACAGGGGAACAATGTCCCCTGTTTTCGGTTGCAAAGGCTTACGCATCAGAGCTTGCCTTGCCTTCTACACAGGGATGTCTTTGAATAAAGTCCAGAAGCTTCTGTTAGTTCAAAAGGCAGCCACCAGGTTGCTTAGCAAGGTTTTACATGGTACCTGCTTTGTCGCACCTTCTCTTGGTCATCCAGCCCAATTCAGAATCGCTCCTTCTGGCCAAATTTTTCCTCCCTTTCTCATAATAGCGGAAGCTGGAGACATTCAAAGGAGCTTTTAGACCAGACACAAGAGTCAACCTGTAGGAATTTGTGACCACTGCATATGATGGTCACAGCAATGACGGCATTGAAGGGGGATTCGTGGGTGGGGTGGCTCGTGGCCCTATTGGCCATGGGCAGCTTTCAGGAACAGAGACAGTCTGCTCTTGGAGGCCCAGTGACGGGGACCAGCAGAAGGAGATCCAAGCAAGGCTAGATCTAGGACCTCCTGACTGACCACTGAGAAAACAGGTTGGTGGACCAGAGAGCCTTTGTGCCGAGGCTTCTGACATAGAAACACAGAAACAGAAGGGGTCTCCCGGGCCATCTAGTCTGACCCCCGGCTCCAGCCGGCTCCGCTCACGACATGCCCACCATGTGCATGTCCAGCCTATCTTTGAACACCCGCACCGATGGGGCCTCAACGACCTCCCCTGGAAGCCCATTCCATACCTTCGGGGTCCTGACTGTCAGGAAGTGCTTCCTGGCACCCACCCTAAATCTTGGTTCCCTGAGCTTTGCTCCATTGGAGCGCATCCTGCCCTCCTCTGCAGGGGGAAAACATTGTGTTCCTCCATGGCCACGGATCACTCTGCAGCCTCGACCCATGTGAGATGGCGGATGGCCTTCCCCCTCAAGCAGATCCTGTGGGTGAGGAGTGAAAGGATGGCCTTGCTAGCTGGATTTCTTGCGGTTGCAGAAGCTTTCCCCCCCGCAGACGGTGCAGGGTTGGCTGCTGAGACGGGGCGGGATGACGGAACTTTGCTCATTGCAACAGGGGGAAGACGGGCGAGGGAGGCACCGAGCGAAGCTGCCAAGGGCCCGGAGAAAGAGGAGTCCCTTGCCTTGCCTTGCCTTGCCTTGAGCTGGAGGGACGGATGGATCAGCCAGCCTTGAGAGATCAGCCAGCACAAACAGCAGCTCTGGTGGAGGCTCTCCGCCACCCACTCTTTACCGGAGACGCTCCCTATTTTCTGGTAGTTCTCCCTGAGAACAGCCCATCGCTACTTCACCTTTGGTGATTTGGAGCATTTCTTCTTTTAAAAAGGCCAATATCCGTTTCCTTCCTCCTTCCTCGATAACAATCCTTGCAGATAGTAAACCTCACTGACCGGATTGCATCGAGGTTGCTAACTACAACCAGATGCATTGTGAGATGGCTTGTCTGATTAAATATTCATTTTTTTAAGAGGGTTGTTCAGTGAGTTTGCTAAAGCGCCTGCCTCAGCAGCTGGGCCGGGCCAGGCTTCTGCTGCAGTGTAAATGAATTACAGAAGCAGCAAATGGCGAAAAACCTTCAGCAACGCAGAATCGCTCCTTGAGGGCGGCCTGCATGTGAAAACAGAGCAATGTAATTAACACACCTGCGTTGGCCTCTGCAACATTGTTGGGGTTAACCTGCACTCACCTTGCACCTGTTCCCACAGCTGCTTTGTGCCCAGCCAGGGTCCTCTCACCACATCGTAGGAAGCAACATCTGAATGCCGGTCCGCATAACCAGTTGGGAGCTGCTAGGATCTTGTGGGACCGGAGCATTCTAGGTGGACTGGGGGCTAAAACGTAGGGGTCTGTGAAGGCCATCAGTGCAGTGCAGAAGCTCCCAAAGCTTGGAGCATCCCAGAAGCCGGATGGCCACCTTCCCTCGAAGACCTCTTGGGAGGGGGAGCTCACCCATCCCGCTTAGCCCTTAGAATCAGAAGCTTCCTTGAACATTCAACCAAAACTTGCCCTCCGGTTGCTTTAGTCCCTCAGATCAAGGTTTGCCTGCTGGGGCAGCAAAGGCAATGCCTTCTTCTGAATGACAGCCGCCCTCAACTTCTTTGCAAAATGCTTGTGTTTCCCAGGATCTGTGTGAACTGGGCATGGACCAGGGAAAGGAAGCAGAGGATGAGGGAAGCTGAGGCAGAGAACAGGGCTAGAAGCATCCTTAGGAGGGTCCGTGAGGCCGCAGGGAGGAAAGGAGAGGCTGAGAGGGGTCTCAGGGTGGATCTGAGGAGTCGAAGGAGCAAGGTTTCCCTGGGTGGAGGGTGAGCAGCGGCTCCACACACCAGAGCAGTGCATTAGCAGTGGCACCTGCTGTCCCAGGTTGCGCTTCACACTGCTTGCTTGCCAGGCAGGGAATCTCTTCCATGGGGCTGCAGGGTTCCCCGGAACCGCCTGAGGACGTGTTTGCAGCTGTGAGGGTGCCGGTGGGCCACATCAGCTGCATCTAGCCCTGAGGGAGCCTCTTAATAGCTACCCACCTTTGATGCTGAGCAGTCATTCACCAGAGAGGCTGTTGCTCCAGGGGCCGAAGGGTGCAGGGAGACCCAGGCAAATGGGGTGGGATCTTCTGGCCTCTGCCTGACCCAAGGGGCATCGGGCAAAGCAGCTTCTCAGAGAGCCAGACCTGCAAAAGGTGTTCACACCGGCTGAAACACTGTCTTTCCTGAAGTAGCAAACCGGCTGTGGGTGTTTGGATGGGTTCCAGGCAGCTGGGTTGGGGGTGTCGGCGTGCTTGCCTCCGCAAACCCCCAACCCTAGTCCGGAACAGTGCATGACGGGCAGCTTCGGGGCTGCGGATGCAGCACGGTGACTTTCCGTCTGTCCTTTCCGCAGTGGGAAGAAGTGAGCGGCTACGATGAGAACATGAACACGATCAGGACTTACCAGGTATGCAACGTCTTTGAATCCAGCCAGAACAACTGGCTGCGGACCAAGTACATCCGGCGGAGAGGGGCCCACCGGATTCACGTGGAGATGAAATTTTCGGTCAGGGACTGCAGCAGCATCCCCAACGTCCCGGGATCTTGCAAGGAGACCTTCAACCTCTACTACTACGAGTCTGACTATGACACCGCCACCAAAACGTTCCCCACTTGGATGGAGAACCCCTGGGTGAAAGTGGACACCATTGCTGCGGACGAGAGCTTCTCTCAGGTGGACCTCGGCGGCAGGGTGATGAAAATCAACACAGAGGTGCGCAGCTTTGGGCCCGTCTCCAAGAATGGCTTCTACCTGGCCTTCCAGGACTACGGAGGCTGCATGTCCCTGATCGCCGTCCGCGTCTTCTACCGCAAGTGCCCGCGCGTCATCCAGAACGGGGCCATTTTCCAGGAGACGCTCTCTGGAGCTGAGAGCACGTCACTGGTGGCAGCGCGGGGGTCCTGCATCCCCAACGCCGAGGAGGTGGATGTGCCCATTAAATTGTACTGCAATGGGGACGGGGAGTGGCTGGTTCCCATTGGACGCTGCATGTGCAAGCCTGGCTACGAATCGGTGGAGAACGGGACCATCTGCAGAGGTAGGTGGCCTTCCAGAGACACGATTTCCGGCGATTCTGTAGCATTGCCTTCAACCTGGTGGCCTTCAGAAGTTTGAGGTGATGGCTCCCACAATCCACAAGTGCCGGTCATGCTGGGGCTGGTAGCAGTTGAGGCTCGAAGGAGCTGGAGGGCTGCAGGTGGCTCAGCAGCTCTAGTTGGTGCACAGGATGAGGGAAAAAGAAGGGGAGGCGGGTTCATAGCCACTTTCATGTTCTGCAGACTAAGTCATGATGGCGTGTTCGCCACTCCTGAACAGGTGGTCAAGTGCTGATGGATCCTCCTTGTGAACCTCGCTGGGCATGTATCGCAACATCTGGAATGGGCCAGGTGGATGGCTGGGGGGGTTTGCTTAGCCCCCCACAGTCTTCCCACAGGCCATGGGCTCTGGAGGACTCGTCACTTCAGAGGCCATGTGAACCTGGTCTGTACGTACAGCAACTTGGAATTGGCTCAGCGATTACAAATTCACAAAGAAAGCAAAATGAAAGGAAGGTGTTTAGTTCTCTGAAATCGACTCATAATTTCAACTGTACCATATCATGGCTTCCAATTCCCTTCCAACCTTTTATCTGAATCGAACCCATCGGTTGCATACTTGACACTGTATGCGCAAAGCAAAGCAAAAGTTTTGATTTGATTTTTAAGGTATCGATTGTTTAACAGTTTCTGAACTAGACTTAGTGTCTTGGGCTTGAACAACAAAATGATACTTTAATTGCATACCCATTTATGCAGCTGCAGAGTTTCGTTACGTACTTCGAGTGGTAAAGGAAATTCCCAGGAAAATTACTATTATTCCTGTTCCCAATACTGGAACTCAAAGTGGTTTATGACAGTAAAAAAATGGAGCCATTACAGCATTAATTGAAATATGCTTAAGTTAAAAATAAATGCGCAATAGCTGCAATATTAAAATTATATACGATGTGACTATTGAAATGACAATCAGCATGGTATAGGAGGCAGAATGAGTCCAGTGCAATCTCACAGCTGGACCTCATATCCATGGGGGGAGAGGTTCCAAGCCCCCCAGAAGATGCCTGAAATGGCAGATAGTAGCAAGTGCATTTGTGGGTGTTCTGGGCAGGACCCCCACCCAAGTGGAAAATGTGCATTTCTCTAGGGAAAAACTGCAAATATTTCTACACACATTGTGGCCACTGAGAAACAAACAGGTGAGTCAGACTGGCTAGACAAAGTGTGTGGCAAACCCAAGTTGAGCACGTAGTTCCCTAGAGATATTTAAACATTTATATGCCCCCTATTTCGCCCATGACATCTCTAGGCGGCAGACAGACAATTAAAATACTTTATAAAACCTTAAAACAATGGCATAAATTAATATAAAACTGGATGAAATTACATTAAAAGCAATATGAGTGGAGGGTTTGTTGTTGAGTGGCAAAGTCGTGTCTGACTCCTCGTGACCCCGTGGACAACATTCCTCCAGGTTCTCTTGTCCTAAGTGGAGGGTTTGGCAGTGACTGATAAATATTAAAATGTCTTTTAAAGAGGTATTTAAAATCTTTCCCTAGAGGTATTAGCAGTCTTTCCACTTATGTGGGGGAAAAGTTGGTCCACTTCTTTGCACCCCAGCCTTCACAAATGGAGGTGCTGATGGTCAGCCTTGGCTAAGTGAAACTGTGATAACTGAGACAGCAGATATGGGGGTCCTGCTATATTCCCAAAGGCCCCCCAGAGCAGAAAAACATGAGCCTGCCTCTAAAAGTTGGTGTTCAAAGCATACGTATCAAAGGCTTCAGAATCTGGGTGGACTCATTCAGAGCAGGGTAATCGCGAGCCTTGGTCTCTCTCTCATCTTTCTTTTGTTCAAATGGTGTTGCTCCTTGGTGCTCTGGGAATCGTGTGACCAGGTGCAAAGCAAAGTGTTCGGCCTCAGCTCTTGGTGTAAAGGAGTATGCAGAATGCATCCTTTTCAGTGGGAATCCATGCGTGCCTCAGAGTTGGTCGGCCGTTTTGCTCTTCTCGGGGTCCGTTGCTGTGCTGGTTGACCCAGAGCATGGCTTTGTTTTGGGTGATGGAATATGAGTTGTGGACTGACCCCGTTTGTGGCTCAGACAGCCTAGAAAGGTCCTTTTCTGTCTTTGCAAGCCGGCGTAGCTCCTGCATGGTAGTTTCTCGCTAGGACTTTGCACCACTCAGTAACAACCCCATTTTCTTGCCTCTCCGTCATCTCCGCTGACTGAGTTAACTAGGGGGGAAATGGCCTGGCCTGCCCAGATGCCTTGAAGATGACGTTTCCCATAGAAAACCCCTTCCTCTGTCGGCCCCAGAACTTCCCAGCAGGCGTGATGTGACGTAGTTGGACTGAAGAAAGTTGGGAACCATACTAGACCCCTGCTTGAGCAATAGAGAGGTTGGCAAGACATGCCTGAGGAGCCAGCTGGGTTCAAGGGCCAGAGCTGAGCAGCAAAACACATGCTCCGCACAGAAATGGCCTCAAGTTCAACCCCAACATCTCTGGGCACATCTCTGCAAAACCTGCTGCTAAATAGAAGTCGGCAGGCTCTGAGCTACTTGGAGCTGATGTAGGACAGCTCGCAATGTTTCCACTGGAAGGTCGAGAAGGTGGGAGTTGGAACCTAGCAGCTCTGCTGGTCATGCAGATGTCGGATGCTTGCAAAAGGGGTCTCTGTGCCTCGAGACCACCTTGCCAGCTTATCTGAGGGGAGGTGCTTCCACGGAGCGTGTTTCTATGGGCTGAATCGCTCTCCTGCTCAGGAGTGACCTCCTCTCTCAGCTGAGATTCCAGCGCTTTGCAGTTCTGCTGAACAGCAGGTCTGCTCCGTGGTGCGTCAACGCCACGGGGCCCAACCTTTGTGCCTCCTTTAGGGCACCAGCTGGATTCCCCCCTTCCCTCTTTTGGGTTTCATCCTGACCTGGCTGAGCGGCTAGAGCATTGGACCATGGAGTGCTGCTTGGCACCCGTCCACCCTGCTCCAGAACCAAGGTGTCCCACCAGAAGATGCGAGCCACGTAGCATCATGCCAGGTCCGTTGTCCATACCACAACGAGAGAGTTTGGTCAGAGGCACGTGATGCCAGTGGTTTGAATCACTCTGAGCTCACGGCCGGATAGAGTGGCTGACTCAGCCTTCGGCTGAGCCAACGAGGCAAGGCGAGGCACTTCCTGGTGCTTGGAAGAACGCAAAGCCAAGCGGAACCTGGGGATAACGAGATCCAGAACGGTTGTGCATATGCACGTTTCCATTTGGCTCTCCCTCTAGGCCGGGGAATGACAAATTAGGCCCGGTTAAACCATCCCCTTGAATGTGGTTGGCACGATTCTGCCTTTAGTGCCAGCATTCCAGAGCTCATCCCTGTTATTGGGTGGCGGCTGCAGAAGATTACAAAGAAGCTTTGGGGAAGATCATGGCAGCCGTTGGTCCAGGAACAGCCTTCAATCCGAGCTCCACACCATCGTGATGGACAGACGGCCTTAGAGGGGGAGCCTGGAGCCAGATGCCGGAAGGGACTGGCTGGAGGTCCGCTGCAGATCCGTCCTCATACCCTGCAAGTGTCCCTCTGCTTTCCAAGGTCTTGGCTTGCACAGGATGTTAGAGTCTTGGGAAGAAATGGTTAGCCAAGGCAGGGGCAAGGGGACTCGGGAACCCAGGAACACCTGCTTGTGCAGGTAGCTCTCCAAGCATCACCCTTGGCGGTCCACCCCTTGGGCTGCCCCTTCTCTAGGTCCCCTCCTGCTTTTAATACCCATAGCTCCCCACGACGGCAGGCACCCCCTGCCCCTACATGAGTACCCCAAACGGTGCCCGTCCTCCCACGGTTTTTTTGTGGTCCTCCAGCCAGTGCTGGGGGCCAGCTCTGTGGCAGCGACCCTTCTGATTTCCCAGAATGCCTGGGCACAGTGCTGCCTTGGGGGCACTGTGGGAAGTGAAACTGGCAGCTGCTCCTAGGAATAGGGCTGCTGTTGGCAGGTGCCTCTGTCAGATAAACCCAGCAGGGATGGACCTCCATTGCTGCCCGAGGACAGGGGTAAGTGACCCCCAAACTCTGATGCCTCCAGTGAAAGGTGTTGGCCTGTACATCTAAGGCTCAAAGCTCAGCCTGTTCTCAACCCAGTGATGCTGGGAAGGAGCTGGACTCCTCAGCGGGACGGGGTGTCCTTTTGCTGGGAGGGATGCTGGGAAGGAGCTGGACTCCTCAGCAGGACGGGGTGTCCTTTTGCTGCCTGAACCTAAGGACACGGGGGAGCTCCTCCATCCCATGCGCCACAGCCAAGCGGACTGGAAGCTGACTCTCAGTTCAGCCTTGGTGATGCGGGCATCCGAGGGCCACAGGGAAGCCACAGAGATGCAGCATCTGCACAAAGAGCTCCTCTCACCTTCCTTCAGATGCTGACTCCGGCCTGTGCCTGAATCTGCTACCTGCACACCTGCAGCGTGTCTGCTCTCCAGTTCAACCTTCTAAGGAACCTACCCTGACAAAGCTTTAACTCCTACAATTTTTTGGGAAAAGCCGCATCAACCAGTCAGTTAATAGAACACAGAACGTAGGTGTACTCTCAGAAGTAACGAGATAATGTAGCAGCAGCCCAGAAAATGTTCTTTCTGCTACAAGCAGATTCCTTCGCAAGTAACCAAAGAACCATCAAGTGGAAGGGGAGGCAGCAGCTAGAAAGCAAGAACAGTCTTATCCCGAATTCTCGGCGACCCACAGTTTGCAGGAGACCAGCCAGCAGCTTTCCAGGGTGGATGGGTTCCAGCCAAGGGTGTTGTCGATCCTTTCAGAGACAACTACTGCTCCAAATACTCCAAATTTTTCTGACACCCCCTTGAGCAAGGCCATCCTTTGAAGCCAAGATGGCGATGCTCCCAAGAGGCCATGCAGATTGGAAGACCCAGCTGATTGAAACAAAAATGAAGAGCTGAGAGTTAACAAACAGCTGCCTTCAGGCTGCTTCGCGTCAGAGTGCACCCACACCTCAATTTCAGATCCAC